TCTCACATTCATAAAATTCTAAAAGTCAAACAATCCTTCTGGTTTACCTATTTAGAAGACCAAGTTACAAGTTATTTCTATAACTGTACATTATATTTACATTTACACCTTCTTAATACTAACTACTATAGCTACACAACTAGAACTTTTTATCATATAAAAAACTCTGGCTTATTACAATACTTGATAACTAAATTATTATTGATAAAGTCAGAAGACAAGTTTCTTAATCTGGCACTGTGCTTATTACTTACTAGCAATGTCAAATTGAATCACAATTTATTTGCTTATATCTACTTGCATCTATTTAATCAAAGACATGTTCTGGTTGTTCTCTTAACTTACATACAATCAATAACAAATGTACAATTGCTATTCCTACTAATCTTTCAACTCAATTTTTTGGTCAAGTTAATACAAATTACAAAATTCTTAACTTTAATGTCAATCATTTGAACCTCTTATACTCAGTTGCAATCAGACACCCTATTCAAACTTTAAGCTTATTTAATATTATTATTTTAACAAACTCAATTTCAACTATTTTTGAACCTTGTACACTAACTTATAGACTCCAACAAATTGCCAATTACAACATTAACCAGCAAGAACTCCATTTTTATACTGATAGCTCTGTTATTAATTTGGGTACTTTTCAATATTCTATGGGTATTGAATAGGTCCAAATTAACAATAATTCTATATTGTATACATTTCAAGCACAAGTCAAACTTTGGCCATGCTCAGAACTTACTGCTATCTTATCAGTTCTTATTACTACTTCTAGAAATTATATTGTAAATATATATACAGACTCTTAATCTGTAATTTCAAAATATCAAAACCTTTTAAATTTCTTTACTACTCTATTATATATATATACATTATACTTTTCACTTTGTAACACACTTGTTAACTTTATTAACTTGTATAAAATTTAAATTATCTTTCACAAAGTTATTGCTTATTAAGATAATACATATAATAATTTAGCTGATCAACTTGCACATAATTATTATAACTTGTTATATCTTACTTTTATACTATATAATATTTATAACCTAGCTTATATTCTTATTCTTGAGAATTTTTCTCTTGAACTACCAACTCATTACAATATTCATACAATTTATCATGTACATATTTATGCACTATAAATTACTCAAAACTGTTTTCTTAAATAAAAAAAATTCTTAACCAAATCAACTAACAAGTTACTTGGCTATATATCAACAATAATTAAAAAATTTCAAATTTCTCATATAGCTTTCAATCATCTACTCTTAAGTTCTTTAGAATTAAAATTTTACTGAATAAACTTCCTGTCTCACACACTTTATACAAACATTATTACTCATATTCACCTATCTGTTATCAATATCAACATACTAGTTCTTATCTTTATTAGACAACTTGTCCATCTGATTAACTATTAAATAATCTTATAAATGAATTGTTACAACATACTCTTAATATTATTACTCTTAATATTACTTCAGAATTTATAAGTAATCTATATTATCAAATCAAACAACTAAACTGCATATCCAGTCACAGTATACCAGACCTACCTTCAATTTTCTCAACTCTATTAAGCTTAGTACTAAATGAAATTATTACTATAATTACAAACTTATCATTTACAAAAATATCTATAATACTTATTACTAAATTTTTACTTCATCTTAATTAACAAATTTATTATAAAATTTGAATTCTTTATTGTATTTTAAGATCTACAATTCATTTTTCTACTTCTAATTTATCTTTTAATTCTACTTTGCAATTAGTACAAACTTCTTTTTTTAATACTATTAGTTCTAAAATTAGTTCTTGGTATATATAATGAATTAAATATTAAACTAATCTCTTATACATTATTACTAACACCCAAATCTAGGTGAGCCTTAGCCATTCTAGTTAGTTTAGATTACAGATAAATTAGTCTGAGCTTCTATTTTTGCTATAATATTTTAAAAATAGATTTAAACTTTATATAAAAATCTCAGTTAAATATTCAATAAAGATAGAGGTATGGTCTTACCATTAACATTAAAAAAAAAAAAAGCACTAATATATATTATTCTTGATAAAACAAAAGTGAAACTAAATTGTATAAAAGTTAAGTTTTTTCTAGTAAATAAAACTCCAATTTTTCAACTTTATAATGCAGAAGTTATTTATTTATTCAAGTGCTATTATAAAAATCTTTTTATTTATAATCAGATTAAGACATATAATAATATACAAAATAAAATAATAAAAAAATTAGTACTATATAATATTTATAATGTTATAATAAATTCACTGAAACATAATCTATAATATCTTTAAATATTATTAAAAATTGCTGACAAAAAACCAGAATTTTTTTACAAGAAAATTCTAAAGAACCTATTGAATTTAACCAAGACAGATATTATTGGCATCAATATTTAAAGATCTATTTAATTTAAATTTGTATACTTAACTTAGAAATATAAATAAAAAAATTAAAATTTTAGCAACATAGATAATGAATCAACATTAATCCTTTTATAATTAATTATTTAATTACTAACAAATAACTTTCTTAACTTTCTTACTGCATATAAATACATTTATACTAAGGATGAAGAAGTTAAAAATGGGCTTAACAAAGAAGAAATTTGAAAAATTATTGAAGGTAAAGATGATGAAAATAAGAAAGAAGAAGCAAAGAATCTTTTATTGAATGAAAAAGTCACTTACACAGATGCAGAATCTTGTATAAACTAAACACTAGGGTTTTTATATAAGTAAGAACTAATGTTTAGTAAAGTTGAAGAAGAAAGTCAAATTTTAAGAAAACTTCACAAGTAAGTTAAGCTAAATGTTATAAATAATCTTAAACAAGCTGATTTATATTACTATTTTTAGTAAAAAAAAAACTTTTTTTAAAATAATATTCATTTTTATTTTATTTTATACAAATATATTATATATATACACTTTGTCTTAATTTAATAATCTATGCTTTGCATAATTAAATTGTATTAAATAAATTTTTTTACAATCTTCTTCAGTATCATTATCAATTTTTTTTCGATCTTGTGATCATTGACAAAATTTTTTAAGCTTCATTTATGTTAAAGTTAATACATATTTAAACTAATATTAAAGATTAAAAAAGTTATAGTAAAATTATTCAAGAAATTTTTTTTGTTAATGCATAAAAGGCTATTTTTTAGATAAAATATTAAGATAAAGATAATTTTTTCAAGATTTATCATTGGCCAATTTTGTTTATTATCATATATTAAAAATTATATAGTAGTTTTTTTTACAAGCTTGGTTACATGAATATATATTTATTAGTTAGCTATATATTGTATACTGAATGTTTAGTATAGAAAAAGTAATCTTATATAATGAACTTACTCTATACTGAACAAAAAGGCTCAGAATATGCAATTTAATATATCCAAAGTTAACTGTATTTGAAGTTGTAATTCTATAATTCTATTGTACAAAAACTAACTTTAAAAGTATACAATATTATAAATAAATTTAAAAAATATAAACTGAATAAAAGTTAGATATTAGTAGCTTAGATTAGATATCTGAAATGTTAACTTTGTAATTCTAATTATATTAAGACTAATTTTAAAAATGTACAATATTACATAAATAAATTTAAAAAATATATACTAAATAAAAAATTTTACTTAGAAATTCTAAATAATAAAATAATATAATTTTTAATAATATTATCTATAAAAATTTTAATTTAAAAAAACCTAAGATATAGATCTCTAGGATTAATAGTATAGAAGTTATGCTTTAAAATTACAAATTACAAAGCTACCAGTTTAAATTCTAGTAATAACAATTGTAAAGATATATTTCTAAAAATAGAAAACTGTAATACTATAAAATCAGGAATTCAGATTATTCAAACTAGCAAATAACCTGTAGTTGAAAAGCCACATAGTGATAAACATAAGTTAGAACCCAATTTGGAATAAATAAAATCATAAAATATAATATAAAGCTGAAAGTCTAAAAATGAAAAATATTACATAAACTTATAGTAATAATCAGTTTTATACAGAACCTAGCAAAGCTTTCTGATTTTGACAAAGGTCAATATAACAATTACTTCTGAAAAGTTTAAAAATATAGACCAAAAAAGATTAAGGTTCAATGATCTTAAAAATTAAGAACATTAGTTTAAAAGAACTATAAAAAACATAAAAAAAGATTTTAGCAAGACTGTTAAAGAGTAAAAAAAAAATCTAAGACAGGTAACCTATATAAACAAGAACTTCTAAATAAAAAGAAATTTATTAATATAACTAACTAATTAATCAAAACATAAAATTATATTATATTATATTAAGTTAATTAAATTAGTAATATAAAAAACTTGTAAAAATATACAAAACACTAGTAAGATTGTAAAAAAGAATACTGAGATTATATAAACTTTACAAAGATATAAAAATTTAATAATTAATTCTAATTGCAAATATTAATCTTAATTATAACAAAAAATTAGATTAATTTTTGATAAATTTAATACAAAATCAAAAATTTTCTATATAAATAAACTGTTTTAAAAACTTAATAATCATAACATATCTGCACTAATAAAAACTAAGACAATTAATAAAATAAGCAAATAGATAAATACAAAAACCAAAATGTTTAAATAAAGAACTTATAAACAGGTTCTAAGTATAACAACTGATATAAAACCTTTGAGTGAACTACTTAAATTAGACAATAACAAAAATTGTATAAGTGACTAGTTGTACACTCTTCTTATAGTTGCCTTCTATAACTGCTGTAATACAATCACAAAGCTAAAACATACTATTAATAAAATTCTGAATTACAAATACTTACCTTACATTAAAAAAAAAGAATACAAAAAAACAACAAACCAAAATACCAACAAGATTACATTAAATATATATATTTAAGTTACAATTAAAATTTAGCATATTAATTTAATGACATAATGCTTAAAAGGTCCTTCACTTTTCTCCCACATGCAACCCAAAAGAACATGCTACGCTTGCAGCCAACTTTCTCCGCTCTTTATCCGATAGGGTCTTGCCGCGTTCTTTTCAAAAAATAAATAAATAAATAAAAGGTAACAATGAAAAACTATAGGCATAAATGTAGCATGATAATAAAAATATCACGGGTTACCTCGCAACGAATTCAATCTAGTAAGAACTTTGTCTAGTCCATCTTCATCGTCAAAGTCATCAAAAATGTGGTTATACATAGATTCTATTTCTTTTTGAGAAGGTAATACTATAAAGCAAGTTACTATCATATGGCAATGTATTTATAACAAATAAAAAAATATATTCTTACCATCTTTAAAGAATTCAACATCATCATTATCGAAGGGTGCTGAGTTGTAGTCATGTAATGGTGACATCATATCATTTTTTGCATTTTTTTGGTCAAGTTTCAGTTGTGTGATGGCTGAGAAACGTGCAATCCACATAAAATAAGCAAGTAAGCATTTAAAAAAAGGAAGAAAACAAATTATATACATAAAAAAATGAATTTAATGCCTTCACACAACTCTTGGTAGTTTTCGTGTTCCTCTAAATGTGAATCATTGTCATTAAGAGGTTCGCGAACCATTCCTTCCCACATATTTGATTGTAAAGCTTCCAGAATTCGATTTAGGCCGACACGTTCTTTTATTTGTATAATATACTTGGTATGAATAATTAAATTCAAGCGCAGTATCATTCAACAGTTGCATAACCATACCACCATTCTCTTGTTCTTCTTCTTCCGCATCGACATATTCGAATCCGTTTTCTAAACACCAATTTTCGAATGCGTCTTCATCCTCATGTGATTTATTTGCATCAATCTTACCCGTACCAATTGCAAGAATTATCGAAGGCTCATATATTCGTATAAATGGCAGATACACGTGAATATCATCGAATGTTGACGGCTATCATTTATCAATTAACATTAAAAAAGTAAACTTTATATACCATAGAAAAAATAATTCATTGATCGATTTGAATGAATACCTGATCTTTTCTAAATACAAATAAAATCGCATCAACAACATTACCGATGCCACTCTCTTCATTCTCATACCCCTTGATCACTTCAGCATCTGCTAAATCTTTTTGAACCGTTTCATCAATCCAGAATTCTACTTGTGCTGTATAATATTTAGTTGCTATTTTCCACGGAACTCGCTTCCCTGCGTGATCCTCGAAGTCCTTAGAAATATCACCTATAATCGATTGATTTGTAATTGACAAAATTTCTTATATAAAAAATTGAGGTTCTTTTTGTTAGTATCAATAAAAAATGATTACATCGTGTTAAATAAAAGAATATTATGTAGAAAAGTATTATATACGTTTGATAATCGATAATTTCCCCACACCTCGACGACCTAATACGAGTATTTTATTTCGCATGAGGCTAGGCGCAGACATTGTCTTGTTACCCTGAGAGTTTTGTCCTATTGTACTAGGAAAACGAGAACCGTTGTAAGTCCGGAGCATCACATGGTTTCAGATTAAGTAATGCAATGCAGTCAGACCAGAGATAAGTACAAAAGAAATTCGCATAAATGAGAGAAAATAGAAATAGGATGATTAATTATCAGTAAGAGTGGGTTGTGTTAATTATTTATATTCTGATAATTTACAGTCAGACCTTTCTATAGTCACCTCCTCTATAGTCTCATTTGCTTATAATCACAAATTTTTAAAACCAACTTAATAACACTTATAAAATTTAACCTCTATATAAGCACAAACTCTATAAGCACCAAATTCTTTAAACCAAGGGTGTGATTATAGAGAGGTTTGACTGTACTTGCTATTATGGATTCCAACTTTACAAACGCGGTATACAGTAGAGGTTGGAACCGGTTTTAATAATTCGGGTTTGTCACATGAATTTCGTGATATTAAAGAATTTATTAAAATTTAATTGGATAAATTTCCATAATATCACAAAATTTACGTGATAAAACCGAATTATTAAAACCGGTTCCAACCTCTCAGGCCGTTCCCACCCTATGCATCCGATTTACTTCCTAAGTAGCTGCAACGAACGACACCTGACAAAATTACGGCCGGTCTACGGGAACGTACCAAATCACGTGATTTTCACGTACCAGTTAATCACGTGTTAATGTACATCCATCGAACCGGGCGTTCTTAAAATGTACCCGGGGTATAGGCTCATAGGGCGACTTTCTTCTGATTGGCTGATGTAACTCAATTGCCTGGGTAACTTATTTATATACTTTAAAGTACTTTTGGAGAATGTAACGTTTTACTAACAAAAAAATCGCTCTGAAAGCCATTTTTAGCTTTAAGCGAACATTAATATTCACTGCTAAAATTAATCCAAAATATAATAATTCAAAATTTGAAAGACTTCACTTATAAGACAAAATGCCTATTACTGAACTAAGAGATTCATCAACTCGTTAGAAAAAAGTAACTGAACATGTTATTACTAAAGGATGGGCTAACAATACTTTACCTTCTTATCTTCAAATAAGTGATCTGATTTGCTAACTTGTTACAACAAAATTATAATGAATAGTTTAATTTTATCTTAGCATGCTTCAACTGATTTACAGAATCAAGCTATTATAGATCTAACTAAAAGTGTTGAGACTAACAAAGATTAAAGTACTACTAATCTCTCTTTTTCTAAAGTAATAAAAATATTAACAGATCTTTTGTATAATTATGAAAATAATAAGAAAAGATAATCTATATACTCTTTTGATAAATTTTAAATGATTATAAAGAAGAAAGATGTGTAATTAAAAGTTTTTTTTACTAAATTGTATTTGTTATCTAATTCATTATTAAAAAATTAAGATTCAAGAATACAGATTAAAAAACAGTTTATTTTTGTTTGCTATTTTTTTTGTAAAGTCTGTAACAAGTTTGTAAATAGCATAAAAAAAGATATTGTAATGTTTATAGATTCTTCTGATACTTCTAATACTTGTATAAATACTTTTGCTAATTTAGATATTATTACAACATTCTGTACAATCTAGTAGTTTAAATCAACTATATCTAAAAAATATAAAGAAGCTGTTGATTCTGCACTTGCTAAATGTGCAGAGAATGTTATAATATTAAATATTAATGATTATTATAGTATTCATACAGAGTAAGTATCAAATATTACTATCATATTAACTGCTATATACCTAGTGACAATTTTGATGAATTCTATTATGATTTAAAGTGTGATTCTAAAGTTAAATATCTATAACTCTCTACTAGTTAATGTTGAATTTTTTTTTTTTTTGCTTTTGCTAAAGTTATAATTATTGACAGCTATTAACTTTATTGTATTTTAATTATAGTTACATAATTTATACAAAATGAGTTTATAACTAGTTATATATACAACTTTTAATTGTTTATTTTAAGTAGTTCATTCACATAGCAGGTTCTATACTAGCTGCTATATCTGCAATCTACTAAAGAATTACTTATTTAAACACTCTAATTCTTATACTTATACTAACAAATAGTGTACAAGTTTTTATATATTAAAGTGCTGTCTAATTTAACTTTAATCTTCTGTCAATATATCTATCAAGCCATTACATATTTCAGAGTATGTTATCTGACTGTAGAGCTCCAGAAGGTTTCTCTGCTAACTAACTATCCATATTTAGTCTTTTGTTAATAAAGCTTACTTTTGTAGAGTTTATCTAAACTTCAGCACTGATCTTATAGCATATTCTTAATACTTATAATATATTCCTGCTTTCAACCTCAGATCTTCAATTCAGATATTTTAAAAAAATTATAACTAAAGTATCTGAATAATAGTACAGATATGTCAATAATGGCATACTATAGTGGCATGTCAGTGGCATGCCTTTAGGCAGTTTGACATATTATCTTATAAAACAACATTTATATGATTAACTAATTTATATCGATTAAAACATGATCACTAACTAATTAAAATTAAATTTTATAAGTAAACATTTATTATTATTATCAAAGCTTTACAACTATTTATTCTATAATTTAACTATATAATATTTAATCAATATGTAAGATATACAGTAAGTATTAAATTAATTATTATTAAAGTAAAACAAGATTTTCATATTATGTTTAAAATTAAACTTATATAAAAACATCTCAAACAGCTTCTTTAGTTGACTATTTTTAGTATTAAACCTTATATATAGTTAGTATAATAATAAATAGCAAAATACTTGCTTCTAAATAAAATTCTTAAAATTTTCTTGAAAATATTAATTATTTTTTAATTTTTTGTATAATAAATATAAATATTTTTTTGAAACAAGAAATAGTCTTTTTAGTAATTTTTTATTAGTGAAACATTACATTCTTAAAAAGTACTTTAAACTATATAAATAAGTTACTTAGGTAATTTCATTTCCAATATTATACAGATGGTATGCCACAAATTTGGATAAATAGCATGCTACATAACATGTTAATTTTTTGAATATGCCAGATATTTTAACTATAACTTGTCTCTGATACTTTAGGGTCTGTCTTCCAAGATCTTTTTTCTTTAGTTTGAGACTTTCAATAGTTTGGTTGGTAATAACTCTTATCTGAGATTCTTGTCTGCCTGATTCCTTCTATATTAGTATTTGTTTTCTAGGTCTAGTCTTTATAATAATACTGTTAAAGATCTGTACTATCTCTTTACTTAGGTCTTCTCAAGTAGACTCTGACTTCTCAGTTCACAGATTTACATAACTATAAGAACTTATCTTGAGTTTGCACTGCTTGATGCCAGTTTGCATTTCTTTATATAACTTCAACATTGCACAGATGTTTCATAACCTGCTAGTCATGTTAATGCAATTATGTTACAGTTATCTTATCCTAACTGATTAACAAAATGCCATTACTATAATACTGTCTATATATTATATAAATGATTATTTAAATTTTTGCTATTAGTAGATTTTGAACTCACTACCTACCACTTAGGGGGTTGACAACTTATCTACTTTATTAAGTCACTATACCTTTAATTAAAACAAATATTAAAAGCAGGTTTATGAGGTCTTATAGTCTTTTATATAATTAATGCTAAGAATTTTATATAGTCAATAATAATACAAAATTAGAAGAATTGACTGTATACAGCTATGATGTTAAACTAAAAGAAAAATAAAGTTTTTATTCAATAAAGAATATCATTCTTATTGATTTGCAAAAGAATAATTTTCATACTATAGATGCATATATTAAAGCTATTAATGCAATTATAAATGTTCTATCAATGCAGCAGTATATTTAGAAGAAATATATAATTACTGTTATTACAGATTGGCCAAGGCAGATTTATCTTTGAACAACAATTTTATGTTTTATATGTTATTAAAAATTTATCAAATATTACTAATTAAATAATACTGGGGTGTGGCAACCTAGTGAAGTGGTTAGGTTGTCAACTCCAAGTAGCAGGTTCAGAGTTCAAATCCCAATGTCGATGGAAAATTTGAAAATTCTCTCTGTATTATAGTTAACTGTCTCTCGCAATTGGTTAAGATAAGACACCTGTAATCTATATCATACCAGCATAACTGACAGGTCACATGGCATTTGTGTAACAGTTATATGACATTGTTCTTTGGGACAAGGTCTGTAGTTACACGAAGGAATGCAAACCAGTACCAGGTGGTGCAAACCTACAATAAGTTCTCATGGCCATGTAAATCATAGGAACTAATAGAAAAAAGATGGAAGCTCACTTGGAAGACCTGAATAGAGAGGTAATCCAAGCTTTCGACAGTGCTACTGTAAAGACTAGACTTATGAAATGAAGCTAGAACTTGTGAAACTGGACAAATGTACTGGTCTTTAAGGAGGAACTGGATGAACCAACCAGGCTGCTAGAATTTCTAAGTTCCAAAGGAAAAGGGTACATGCTGACAAATATGTAAACCAGAGGTATAGTTTCGCTCTACCTTTTTGGGCTATTTGAAATAGCAGCTTGGTGGAACTTGAATTGAATACCAAAGTAGTAAGGATATATTGTAAAGTAAGTACTGAGGTTGGGGTGAACTCTACAAGGACATAGCAGTTTAATAATATGCTCTAACCGCCAGTATTGGTCTCAGTCATAGTGATATCAGGTCAGCTGTAAGAATAGGATACAGAAGATTCTGAAAGATTTAGTACAAGGTCAAAGGTTCCAAAGAACTGCTTTAAAGACTTAGTGACCATGGCATATTTTTACTGGCATCGGCTAGGGTCATTAGTAGGCAGAAGTAGGTGGATGGATATGGAAACAGAGTGGTTAAATAGGGAACCTACAAGTGGGTTCCAGGTATAGCAGCTTGTGTAGAACCTTCGAGCAGACTACTTAAATTAGACAATACTAAAGTTGTACAAGTGGCTAGTTGTACACTCTCTATGGTTGCCCTCTGTAGTTGTAAAGCAACCAT